CATCGACGGCCCAACTTCCTGAACCCTTCATTCCAGCTCCTGAGCGTTCTTTGAAGTTCTTGAACACCTTCAGCTTGACCTTGGTCTCCAGTACAGCGTATGTATTGGAGTCTGGTGCCCATGCGAAAGAGATGCCGTTACCGAATGCCTTGTTACGCCAAGCAAGCGCAGTGTAAATGATGTGTTCGCCATCGCCAACTACTGTAACAAAACGCCCATTGGGGGAGTGTAAGAGAGATTGCGCGAAGATCTCAGTGGACCCGATCTCCTTTACGCTGAGGGGCAGGCGAGCACCGTCAGACTGGGAGGTAGCGTCATCGGGGAGCAACTGAAGGTTTCCGGACAACACATCGTGGTTCTTCGTGTAGACGAGTTTGCCGGAGGGGTCCATGCTGAATGTGGGCTCGTCACGCCCGAGCTTAATCACTACAACACCCTCATCGAAACCAAACGCGACCTCGTTCGCGTCCTTGCGAAGAGCCGTGCACCAGGCGCGCTCGAGGGCATATGAAAGTGTGTTCTCGATGCGGTAGGTACCGCTATTCCAGATCTTCACGGTGCCGTCCTCACTACCTGAGATAATGATGGGTAGGTTGGGGTGGAAGATGGCGAAAGAAACGTTGTTTGTGTGGCCCTCCATCGTTTGCACGCAGCTTTTGCTCAGATAATCCCAGACCTTGACGGTCTTGTCATCACCAGTGGTAACAAGATATGGCTTGTCTGCGCCGGGATAGAAGTCGACATAGTTGACGCCCTTGTCATGCGCGTCCATGGTGAAATTAGCAGAAGGCGAGCCGATGGACCACATTTTGACAGTACGGTCGAGGCAGGCCGAGGCGAAGGTGTTGGAGTCTTTCGGATTGAACGCAAGGTTCATGATATAATGTGTGTGGCCTTCGTAGACCTGCATTCAACGTAAACGTGGCACAGAATTTACTGAACGAGGCCTTACCTGAATGTTCTTCCAATTCTTCTCCCAATCCCAAGCCTTGATCGTCATGTCGTCACTTCCAGTGAGCACGATGCTCGCAGTAGGGTGAACCGTCAAGCATCTGATATAGTCGGGGTGGGCCTCAAATGACGCGACCTTCTCCATCGTATTATAATTGAAGACGCGCAGTTGGAAGTCATCGGATCCGGCTACAAACCAGTTCTTCCGCGCGATGAACTTGACACAGCGCACTGGAACTTCGGCAACCTCAAATGTCTTAACTATTGCCCCGGTTTCGTGGTTATAGATGTTGACTGAGCCATTGTAGAGACCTGATAGCAGCCAGGGTTCTGTTGGATGAAAGTCGACACCCTTGACACGATCTGACCGAGAGAATAATTTTCGCTATAGCGAGCATTCAGTAAATCGGCTGTGTTGTAAGTTCATATATGAACATACGTTGACTTCAAACAGCATTGTATCACCAGGAAACGGCCAAATTCGAAGAATGGTGGACGGAGGTGACGAGGGATACGTGGAAATTGATGATATTACATAACCATTATATCTTTCAATTTCAAGTTCTGCGCTCTTCTGCTACCTTCACTCATATCAAGCTTCCAAATATCTCGAGTTTCATACCTAACATGATCTACTCTCCGAAGCTCCGTCCTGGGTGCAAAATATATGACTAGCTGGACCAGTGTCATTCAAATGAACCTAGAATCAAAAAGTTCGCCATTTTCGTGTGCTGGCCAAATACTTAGCAGAATCCTGCCAGCCACCCCTGCACTTTGTTGTTGCTATATGACTGGCATCCGGGCCATGGGCGCCAAGACAGGTCCTGTAGCGACTGTAGTTCGCCGATCACAGCCCGTTGCAGCGGCTCCCGATGTAGCTACGGCGGCGTCCGCCCGGGCGACGTTGATAACATCATGCATATTGGGGCTGCCCAACCACCCGGGCGAGTCTCTCCTTTGTCAAATGTTTTTTCCTACAAACTTCTTGCTTGCATTCGAACCACCCCACTATATGATATCGTCGTAATGTTCTTCCCGAGTCAGAAATCCAGTGCAGCATAAGGACGTTAAATACATGATGCGTACATGAAGACCTCGTATTGGTTCTGATATTACATGATACAAAAGGCGTCTAAACATATGGATGTCTATTCAGCGCGGTGAATGTCCATTTGGTGCGCCACAGATGTTGAAGATCATTGACAAGGTATACCAACGTCACTGATGGACGATCCTTGTCCCCGAAACGGTCTGGGAAATTGTATCCAACCCTCGCCCAACATCACTTCAACCTTGCCTTGTTATAAGCAACCCTCATGTCCCATTCGAGCTCGTTCGCGACCTGCTGGTACATTTTTGTTTGATTCACACATAGCTTGTTGATTGAGATGATTTTAATCTCGTTGCCAGATAGTGCGATCAGCTCTAGCAGGGCAACATATGGCTCCCGCATATTGCCAAAGACATCTGGAAGTCGGTGGAGTAGGGATTCCACATGGCGAGGCATCAACGGTTTGTCATTGGGATGGTAATATCCACGCTTGATATCCTCGTTCCCCATGGCATGCGCTGAGGACATCAGTTCCTTCTGTATCGAGAGGAATGCTCCATGTCGTTTGAGGTTGTATATGGATATTGCTTTGTAGTCGTAGGCAAAATTCAGGTCGATGTGGCCATCGTGAATCCGCCGTGAAGAACGGAGGTGGAATTCCTCATCAGTGGCGGGAATGAAGGGCAACTCTAGACGCGTCCCACCAAGCCATGTGGTAGATATGGCAGACGCCACTGATGCGAGGAGAGAGGAACCTTTTGGATCAGGTGTCAAGTCAATATGAGGCGGTCTCGGGGATGGAGGAGGAAAGTCGATGTAATAAGATGACGGGCGGATGGTGTCAGCTGAGCTACTCCTACTAAGAGAGTGAGTAGAACGGTAAAACGGTGCTGATTTGACTGGAGGATCATCAAAGATGATCCTGTTGCGGTCGATTTCTTCGGCCAGATCCCAATATTCGAGCATTCGGGATATGGAGGAACGTTAAGAGCTTTGGAACGTTGAGGGGACTGATGTGGGGAAATCTCAAGGACAATGCATACTTTATAGTATACTGGCAGAGATCAAGAATAAGGCCAGCGGCACGTTGCTAAACAACGTGTTCTTTGTGCACAATCAAAAGGCTATTGTAAATAGACGCTGCCCAATCGAGGCAAAGTCAGGGCTTACAAGTACTTTCCTCTCTTCTGCCCCTGGGTCCATATCTGCCTTCGCTGTGAAACACTTGAAGGACCATAAAACTAAACAACAAAAAAGATCAACGCCATGACAACTGTGAGGTTCGAACTCATCCAGCATGTTCGAACCGCACAATTGGGGAAGACCTGTGCCAATGAATCTCACAAATGGACGCGAGAGCACTTCGCTTCCGGATAGCACCGTCACGTCGTGAATCTCACAAATGGACGCGACATTACGGCCCTCGGAACCGCTGCCGAATCTCACAAGGGGGAGACGTGTGCAAATACTACTAGGTATGTCTGGTCAACATGCGACATTACACCGCTGCCGACACTGCCCAGGTGTTGAAGCCCACGGTCCTGTCATAGACTTGGTACGTCAGAACATTTTTGTAGGACACGACCCAGCTTGGGCTTGGCCACAGACAGCACAACACCAGCCAGCACCAAGGATCTGTTGAGTGGGATCGAAGCACCACTGTGTACGCGCACACAAATGTGTTCGAGTCGAACCGTGTGCAAACGTGAATCTAACAATGGACGCGACTTGCAGTGGCACCAAGACGTGGATCTCACAAATGGACGCCGCGACATTTCGTAAGTTAGACACGACGATCACGAGACCACTTCGCTTATGTACAACCGCCGTACACGGCTGCTGCTGCTATTGCCTTGCTTCTGCTTCTGCCTCCGCTCATGACTGTCACAATCTCTCAGTGGGACTACCAATTTTTTGGTATCTATTGAATGAAGCTCATTCAAATCAACAAACAGTGTCGTGAACGGATACACGGCGCGTCAATGACCCTGGTTGGGCTCCAGCCCCAACGTCTGTTGATTCGTCTACGCGTCCTCACCGTCGTTTAGCTCGACTTGAGCTCGACTCATCACAGGCAGTCTTTGCAGGACTCAACAAACCGTTGCCTACCGCGCGGAAACCCAAGCCCGGGGCAACACACAAAGCATCAGCCTCACAGCAGAGACTTGAATATCGAGGCCTACTACGAGGGGCAACGGGGACTTTGACGATACCGTGCACAGGTATGTATGGATGTGTAACCCCTCAATTTGCATGCTCATAACAACCCACGTAGATGCCGCCACCAACCATCGTCGATGTTGCTGTTACTCGTGTCGACTGCTCTCTACTCAGTACGTAATCTGCAGTTCATCATTCGCGTGCTCACAATACCCACACAGGCTACCGCCAGCCGTTGTTGCGACACCCTTCAACTTCTCACCACCGGCTTGACACGTTGGATAGTGCTCTGTGACCGTTGCTGGTGGAAGGAGTGTGACTGCTGTGATGGCTTCAATCCTTTTTCTTGGACTGTACGGGATGCGTAACACCTTCATGTATCCATACACGTCCACCAATATACATTATTTTTCAACTCCCACAATGGAGGAGACGTGTGCAAACACATAGACGTGATTCTCACAAATGGACACGACATTACGGCGCTCGGAAACGGACCACGTCGGCCATTGCGATGTAGGTGTGACATATTGACCCTTTTTCTTGGATCGTATGCATGTCATAATACAGCCTCTCTCTCGAGTCTCGAATGCCGACCACGCGTCGCGCGCGTGACTTCCTCTTCCACCATGTCCTTCACCAAAAAACTCACTGATCTGTACGAGATGGCTCAGCAGCTTGGCCCAACATTGTCATTGACACGATAGTTCTGTTCTACTGTCATGAGACAATGTACAACTGATTCTCTGAATGTGGTGCCATCTTAATGATGTTCAAAAGTGTGACTGCATCCCATACTTACTTGTACATAGCCTGAAGGAGTACCAAAAGGAATGGCTGACAACTACGAGGTTCGAACTCGTGCCCTTTCGGACTGGATACATTCAGTTCGCTGGGAACATCCTAATTCCAGCGCCTTAGACCACTCGGCCAAGTTGCCATGTTGAGGGAGGAAGCAGGGTCGGACGAGACAGGAATTTGGTGCGAAGGGTGATCCGAATCGGAACGAAATATTGTTCCGACTCCGATTCCGACTCCGAGATTACGTAAACTCCATTGAAAGTTGTGCCCATTCAAGTTGGCGAGTCGGCGTTGACGGAATCATCATGATTCGAAGTGAAGCAGTCGGTCGACTCCGTCAAGACTTCTAAAAATTGTTTTCATTTTGTACAAAATTTTACTTATAACGAAAGGACTGACTGCTCCAGCCAACTGCACAACGGTTCGATTCGTTGTACGCATCACTCATTTCATCTTCCAACTCATTCGCCACCTGTTTATACATTTCTGTTTGTCCTGGCCACTGGCGCAGTTTATCGACGGATATGATGTGAATGCCAGTTTTCAGTGCGATGAGCGCCAACAAGGCGACATACGACTCTCGTAGATTCCCGTACACGTTTGGCAGGTTGGGAAGTGCGTGTACATGTCGGGGAAGGAGTGGGGTTGCGCGGGTGTCGCGACGACCCAGGTCCATATGAGCCATAATCCGAGCCGAGGACCACAACTCCATCTGTATCTCTCGAAAGACAGTGTGTTCCACCAGCTTAGGCAGCGAGATCGACTTGTAGTCATAGGCTGTATTCAAGTCGTCTTCACTGTCGTGGATGTACTGTGAAAACTTGAGACGGGAGGAGTCTGGTGCCGGTGGTGGTGGCGAAGGTGGCATTGACATGATGGGTGGGTCTTCGAGCTCACGGCTCATTGTTTCAACGAAGGGCGGTCTCGGTGGTGAAGGAGGCACATGCCTGCGAGGAGGCCGAATGGTCTCTGCAGAATTACTCCTGGGACGACCTCGGAGTAGGGGCGTCGCAGCCGCCAGAGATGCTACTGACGGTGTATGGCAACGAGGCATTTGTGAACCAGCACGCACATGAGCTTGCGATGGGAGATCCAAGACGGCATCGATATCGTAGTATATGTCCCATGCGTCAATCATGGCCAGTATGGGGTAGATCACGACAAGATTTGAAAGTTTCCACAATGTGGGTCGTGTTTATGCCTTAAACGTTGGGATGAGAATAATTAAGTAAGTGGCCCATTGAATGTTGATTGAAGATACCTTTCTTGTCAGCAGCGCTTAATCACCCGGCATCTCCTTCAAGCGAAATGCCAGGAGCTGGGGGAGCATACTGAAGCCCAGCTGGAGCCTCTTGGGTCACTTGTGGGTTGTCTTGCTCCATTTGTTGGAGATGAATGCTGGGCAACGTCGCGGAAGGAAGGTGTCAAGCGGGCCCTCAGCAAGAATTAGGAGTTTGTTGTGTGCATCAAAAGGTTTCGTTACTGCTGTCTTGAGCCAGGATTGGCGGGTATCGAAGTCGCCGGGGGTGTACAAGAGTGTACAGCTTCATGGAACAAGGCATTAGTGGCTCAACAAGCAGGGTAGTCAGCGAGCCTCATTCACGCATATCGTCAATGAGAAACATGTCAGCGTAAAAATGAATTTTCCACCAACGTACATAGTGGCTGTCACTCTGACTGGCAAGGAATTGAGGAGAGACTCAGAGTGATGGAAATGTCGAAAAAAAAAACGTGGTAGCGGTATTTGGAAGTTCTCACGTGCTGACGAGGCGAGAATTGGCCGTTGCTTAGCATTCTTCTGTTCATCGTTTCAGCTTTCTTCTTCCTTACCGTCGTCCGTAGTGGGCTCGCCCTCTTTCCTTATCCTAGGCCATGGCCTCTAATACCACCCAAGCGACCGCTTCAGGTGACTTAGTCGACCTCATCTCCTCGTCAGGCGCAGCAACAATCTACCCATCCGACGATACCATACTTGCGGTCCTCCAGGCTCGGTTTCGTGCCGATTTGCCATATACGAGGATTGGTGCAACCAACCTTGTTGTTGTCAATCCTTACAAGACCCTTGCTAACGTGAACGACATTAGTGCGAAGGAGTATGAGGAACGGTGCTACAAAGACACCAGTCTTCCTATGGTTGACTCTCCTAAACCCCTGCAGCCGCATATTTACGACTTGGCTGCGAAAGTGTACCTCCTTATGCGACGTAGGAATGAATCACAGACTCTTCTTTCGAGGTGAGTCTGCATTTTCTGTCTATGAACTCGCTTGCTCAAGTATTTTTATCAGGGGCATCACAGGGTCTGGCAAAAGTTCAAACATTCGCCTCTTTATCAACCAGGTTCTGCGCCTCTCGACGCACTCAAGAAAGGAGGCCAAGGTTGCCGAGCAAATCAAGGCTCTAGGCGTTGTTCTCGACTCTTTCGGCAATGCAAAGACTTTGATGAATCCCAATGCCTCACGCCACGGTCGCTACTTCGAACTACACTTCAATGAGCGGGGCAGAATTTCTTCCTCAAAAGTCCTAACGTTTGGTCTCGACAAATCCAGGCTCAACCGACTCACCCACGAGGAACGGTCATTCCACGTTTTCTACCAACTCATCGCAGGAGCTACCACCGCAGAGCGGGACCAGTTCAACCTCGAAGACCCCTCCGAATACTCCCTCCTCGCCTCCTCTGGCACTTATCGCCTGCCTTCTGGCCCTTTCAGCGACGACTCAATCGGCATGTCTGACTTGCGCGCGTCGATGCGCACTCTCGGATTCAAGCAGAAACACATGTCGTCTATTTTTAGTATCCTCGTCGCTATCCTCCTCATGGGGAACTTGCAGTTCCACGACGGGGATGCTCACACCGTATCTGCCTACATCCACAATACACATGTTCTGGATCAGCTCGCACGTCTCCTTGGCACCACTCCCGACGATTTGAGCCAGGTCTTCACAAACAAGACCAACTATGTTCGCAAGGAGCTTTATACGGTACTCCTCAGCGCAGAGCAGAGTGCAGCACAGCGCGACCAGTGCGTGCGGGACTTGTACTCGATCCTCTTCGCCTTCGTGGTGGAGACAGCCAATCACAGGCTGGCCCCGAGCACCAAAGATATCCTTCCTCACACCCAGATTATCATCCTCGACCAACCCGGCTTCCAGACGCGTGGCCCGTCCGGTACGAGCTCCATGTCACTCAGCGGGACTGCACCTCTCGTCTCCGTTTATGGACAGAACAATTTCTATGAGTTCTGCATCAACTTCTCCGACGAGCTCCTACAATCCTACATCCTTCGGGCTACTTTCGAGGATGCTGTGGGTTACAATGCAGCCATGGCAGTCGATGGGATTGCGCTTCCCTCTATTGCCACCATGGACAACGGTGCTTGCATCGAGCTTCTGAGGGGTGCTCAGTTGAGCGAACGTTCGCAACGGAAACCCGGCGGCCTGCTTGGCGTCCTGAACAAGAGCAGTTCTTCGTTCAAATCAGGAAAGGGTGGTGATCATCGCGATGAGGATATGTTGCAAGAGTTGGTCACCAAGTTTGGTGTCCACGCGTCGTTCGTTGCGAACCCCGGACATGCGACTGATAGGACTCTTTTCGGGATCAACCACTACTCCGGCCCTGTGTCGTACGATGTCATTGGATTTGTGCAGAAAGATAGCGACCTCCTCGACTCTGCGTTCGTTTCGCTCTTGCGCAACTCTGCTGACCCGTTCGTCTCGAAGCTCCTCTCCGGACCCAGCCTTGCTGCCGAGCGACACTACAAGGACGAGAACATCATCGTTCAATCCCAGGTCTCCTCCCGACCGCTCCGCCAGCCTACTCCTATCCCCTCCGTCACAGGCGAACTCCCCGAGGAGCATCCCCGACTCGACCCCGGCAAGACTTACCCGGTGACTGCCCAGCTCAACTTCACCATGTCCGAAATCTTCTCCAACTTTGACCGCACCCAGCTCTGGAACCTTGCATGCATCCGGCCAAACGATTCCGGCTCTCCCAACTCCTTCGACAAGCGCCGCGTCAAAGCCCAAATACGCGCGCTGCTTCTCCCCGACATCACGGCCCGCCGAAGCGCCGAGTATGTCGCTGATTACGAGCTTGCCGCCTTCTGTGAGCGTTACGTGCCGACAATGCGTGGCTCAGAAGAGGAGAGGATTACACAATGTGCTCGAGCAAATGGTTGGCGGGAGGGTGCGGACTTTGCGCGAGGAGGTGGGCATGTGTGGCTCTCGTACGCGGCGTGGAAGATGGTGGAGGATACTGTGCGTGCGACAGAGAAGGAGCAGAAGCGGGGAGTAGACGACGACGACGAGGGAAGCGTCCTTCCCGACGATGGTACTGAGTATACCCATCCGGAGAATGGCGGCCTCACTCCTGGGGCACAGTCTGGGTATTTCAATGAGAGCGCGGATAACTTATTGTTAACGAGGACTGGGACTGATGGAACGCGGTACCAGGACCCGAATGCGGAGTATGGTGCGGGCGGTCTGCATACCCCCAGCTACGACGCTCGTGGGTTCGGTGGATCTGGTGAGGGGTGGGACGATGATCAGAAGAGGGGCGCGCCGCCATACTCTCCGACAAGCAAGGCCGAGGGAAATGTCATAGTCAAAGACGCCCCGACCACCGTGGAGCAAATTCCAACCAGCAGGGCGCGACGATGGTGGCTCTGGCTGGTCTGGGGGTGCACCTGGCTGATTCCCAATTTTGTGCTAAAATATGTGGGCCGTATGAAACGCCCAGATATTCAGATCGCGTGGCGCGAAAAGGTCGCGATCTGTTGGCTCATTCTTCTTCTCAACGGTGTCGTCATCTTCTACATCGTCGAGTTCGGTCGTCTGCTTTGCCCCAACTTCGACAAGGCTTGGGCGCTCAATGAGGTCGCTCAGCATCAGGGTCAGGCCGACTATTGGGTAACGATTCAGGGTGTGGTTTACGACGTCTCGGACTTTGTGTTTGGGGACCACAGTGATATTATCGGCGAACCTAGCAACGGCGCCGACACTCTCGATTCTCTTGCTGGTCAGGACCTGACGCAATACTTCCCGGTACCCCTCGCTCTAGGATGTGTCGACCTTGTGACGGACAACACAGTCACACTCACATACAAGAACGACACTATCACGCAGCAGACGGCGAAACATGT